TAATAATAAATTTACTTGAGTATTACACTGAGAACGTAAAATAATAATTGGTTACGTCACTACTACGCTGAAGGATAAACATTAATAATGGCCGAAAACTGTGTAGAGTTTTTAAAGTGAGAAAAGGCTTACTATCTGAGAGAGACATGAGACCGGCTTTGTTCTCAGCTCTCCTCCGTGCTGTTTACTGGGTAAGAAATGAAACTGGTGAACGTATGAATAATTGAGCTAGTGATAATCAGTACTCGACTAGAGTTAAAACCATTAAATTACTGATATGGATATTAAGATATTGGAGTTAGTGATAGAAGGGTGATAAATATTAAGAGTTGTATTGTTCAATGGCACATCATAAAAAACAAAAATAAAAAATTTTGTCCAAAAATAAATATTTCTGGTGGATCACCCTCGTCACTTAGGGAAAAGAAAAATATATTACCTTAAATTGTTAGACCTACCAAATACACCATCACAAAGACAAAGACAAAAAAAATTTTAGTTTGATACTTAGACATTTTTATATATTCTTTTTCCGAAGTTTCGGCAGGAAATCCATGCCTTTTCAAGAATATATATTGACAAGCATGTAAAGTTTCGATATTAACAATTAGACGTCACAATTAAAATGACTTAGTGGGACATACCCACTAAGTCACTTGTAGTGACTTAGTGGGTATGTCCTATGTTTTAGTATTATTTTAATTGTGACGTCTAATTGATAATATCGAAACTTTACATGCTTGTCAATATATATTCTTGAAAAGGCATGGATTTCCTGCCGAAACTTCGGAAAAAGAATATATAAAAATGTCTAAGTATCAAACTAAAATTTTTTTTTTATGAACCTAAGCCCAAGAGAATCCACTAAATATATATATATATATATATATATATATATATATAATATATATATATATATATATCAACTTATGACGATAAGTTATACCGTTGATGGTGACGTGGTTTTGGCTGCAGGTTGGACATCAATTTTAGTTTTTGAATGGCGATCAATTGCTAGATCATTAGGATTTTTTTAAAAGTCGTCTGTTTCTGAAATAATGAGTTTATTCCATACTTTTAAATCATACATAACTAAGTACATAATTTTGGTTTACCCTGTGGAAATAAATATTCGAACTAATGCGTCGTTGCAAAGGCGATTAGGAGACTTTTCAAATTACGTGTACTGTAACATTGATATATATATATATATATATATATATATATATATATATATATATATATATATATATATATATATATATATATATATATATATATATATATATAATGAATACTGGATATTCGTGACTGTCAATTTAAACAAACAACAAAGTTTATTGGGGCTGCAGTCAGAAGTTTGGCCGGGATGTTACAGAAACACTCTTTTGACTTTTGGTCTAGCTTTCGGAATTGTTTAATTCCTTTATCAAGACACTGTAATTAGAAAAATGTGTAAATATTTACAATATATCACAAAATGTCAGTGTACCTACTAGTCGTTGAGATTATTTGTACGAAGCTATGACACTCACCATTAATAACAAACATATACACTAAAACTTATACAATAATTAATACAATACATTTTAAAATTTAGTTAAAAATAATAAAAGTTCTAAAAAGTTCGTTTTCTACATCTTCTTGGTGTGTTTTAACTTACCCATAGAGAATAAAAAAAAACAAAAATAAAAATAGTATGATTAAAAATTCATTAGGAGTTCTTCATATGTTATTAATAAAAGGTAATGTATTAAACCTGTGTTGATGGTATGCAACCTGTTTAGCATGCAGGTGTATTATGGTGTGTATATGTACCAGTAAGTCTTTGTGTTATTTTTGATGTTTAGTCAGTAAATAACAATAAATGTTACTCAATTTGTCTATATCGGACTTCTTATTTATACAAGACGCACTGGACTTTATTAAACACATTTCCAGGAAAACACGTTTTGAATGGTTATTTTCCCTTGCCAGAATACAGGAATCCTCGAAATTAAATTCATGTTTTAAACTTAATGCATGTTCTGTCAACGCGCATGCGTTAATTTTTTTGGTTTTTATGTCGCTGCGATGTGAGATCACCCTACTGTGAAAATTACGAGATGTTTCACCAATGTACACGTTTTTGCAATTAGCACACGGTATAGAATAAACAACATTCGATGATTCCTGTATTGTGAAAGGATCCTTTGTCTTTGTGTACAACTTCGATACCGTTTTCACATTTTTAGTTGCAATTTTTAAGCCACTAACATTTTTGAAAATGTTCATTACCTAACCCCTAAGATAAACTTCTTTAGTCTATATACTATAAGACAGACTTATAAGATAAAGTCTTTTTGTAAAGACACAAAGACTTACTGGTACATATACACACCATAATACACCTGCATGCTAAACAGGTTGCATACCATCAACACAGGTTTAATACAATACCTTCTATTAATAACATATGAAGAACTCCTAATGAATTTTTAATCATACTATTTTTATTTTTGTTTTTTTTTTATTCTCTATGGGTAAGTTAAAATACACCAAGAAGATATAGAAAACGAACTTTTTAGAACTTTTATTATTTTTAACTAAATTTTAAAATGTATTGTATTAATTATTGTATAAGTTTTAGTGTATATGTTTGTTATTAATTTTGAGTGTCATAGCTTCGTACAAATAATCTCAACGACTAGTAAGTACACTGACATTTTGTGATATATTGTAAATATTTACACATTTTTCTAATTACAGTGTCTTGATAAAGGAATTAAACAATTCCTTCCGAAAGCTAGACCAAAAGTCAAAAGAGTGTTTCTGTAACATCCCGGCCAAACTTCTGACTGCAGCCCCAATAAACTTTGTTGTTTATATATATATATATATATATATATATATATTATATATATATATATATATGTTACGAGCAATGTCCGAAATTGAACAATCCTAGCATTGTACGAAAAATCTTGTCGACTTCTAGCATTGTACCCCTTTTCTGTACAATCTCCGAAATAGACATAATCGGTGGACTGTATATAAAAGAATTGCTGTATAATGTTTGAATTTCAAGAAGTAGCCGTGCATCAAAGTTCGGGAGAATATGACAGATATCGATTTTTACTAACATTATCACTCTGTTTATTGTAGAACAATTTTTTTCTTATTATTTTTATTTTAGTTTGACTTAGCAATTTATCACATTGTCGAACTCTAAATATATAAATACAAAAGATCAAATTGTTCGATTTTTGATTTGATGTGCGTTTCGATAATCATTTTTAATTTTGGTCATTTCGGACATTGTACAGTTTGGGGGTACAATGCTAGAAGTGGACAATAATTTCCGTACAATGCTAGTATTGTTCAATTTCGGGCTTTGCTCGTAACATATGTTTATATATATATTATATATATATATATATATATATATATATATATATATATATTTAAAAAAATCGTTGTTTGCGTCATTACGCCTACCCTGTCGTAAAAATTAACGTGTCCTAAGATTTTTTTAAAGTTGTTTTTTTTTCTGAAATTATGAATTTATTTCATACATTTGCACCATACTATATAACAAATTTAATAATATTTAAACGCTTTTTACCCATATATTTAGTGGTTTCATTTATGTAGACCCAGTAACAGCACTGATGAAGAAATTACCATTTTGATATAGCCCGAAAGGGTTCTGTGTAAATAAATATACTGTTTTATAAAGGATTTTTTAAATACAATTTTTTAGTGTATTTATGCTATAGTGAATTTATACATTTACGTATCTTCAACTTTACATGTAACATATTATTGTATAAGTAGATTACATCAATTCTATTTGTTATTCAAGTAAGCACCCTTGGTATTAGGGCTTCGATAAGCTAACAGAAACAATTCACGAACGTTGCATAAATTGCCAAGTGGTAATTTTAACAAAGTTCTCAAAACCGTGTAAAAATTTTTTTATCATTATAAAATGTCTAACTAGTTGAATAACGACCTCGCGTGGTAGTTTTCGTTCGATTTTTTTTTTGTGAACAGTTAAAATCAGTTTAGTGTAATGTAGGAAAAAGTAAACGCGAAAGATCGTGGATATATTTATATAGCATGTTACCAAACTCAATAATGTATTTATAATGTAGTTACGAGGGTTACTACCTTAGTTTTTAATATGTCGACACCGGTGTACCAAAGTCAAATAAAGTATGTATTCGTGTTGAGAATACTTTGTGATATACTTAAGTACTTACTTATTTATCATTTTTAAATTTTGATTAAAAAATGAAATCTATTCATAAACGTTCTTGTCCACCGGTTATTCCAACTTGCTGATTTAACGAGCTTAATATTGACCTTTATGACCTGATTTTATTTAATAAAACCAAGTCCTTAGGCCCCGTTCTCATTATGACGGACCGTCTGTTTAGACGGAAGACGGCAGCCGGGCGTGAGTGTTCTCACTTACGACGGGCTGTCTGTTTAGACGGAAGACGTCAGCATGCACCGGTCGGATTGTAGTTCAATCTTCGTACACGGTATACAATGAACGACGAGGATATTCCACTGCTGTGGTGGTATTTAAGACAAAGAAGAAGAAGACGACGTAAAAGAAAACATTGGGTGCATCCTATTCTACGAGAAAGATTTTTAGCGGGAACATTTGAAACATTAATGGGTGAATTAAGAAATGATGAAACAAAGTTTTTTAACTACTTCCGAATGTCTATTTCTGCTTTTAATGATCTCTTTGGACGAATTGCAATGGACATATTACTTAGTACAAAACACACGATTTAGAGAGTGCATTTGTCCACAACAAAGACTGTCCATATGTTTAAGGTAAATTTTTTTTGTTTAATTCTAAAACTAATTCTTTAGATTGCTTTGTTTACATTGTCTTAAATTAACAAAATAAATTTTACAAGCAGTGGTTAAATGAAACACAAAGTAAATCTTTGAAATTAACTTTTTATTGAAAAAAGTTATGAGCCTTTCCCCGTCGAAAGTTAGTACATTAGTAAATGACTAAAGTCCTTCAAAATGTCCAAGTCCTGTGAGTTTGGTGATTGTACAGTAGATGTTGTTGGTGAAGGTGGAATCCGTTGAGAATAATACGATGATTGAGTGGTTGGTGATGGAGATTGTATGAAATTTGTCGACTGCTGGTTGGCTTGATAAGATGTTTGAGAGGTGAGCGACGGTGATGGTATGAAAGCTGTCGGCTGCTGGTTAACTGGATATTGTGTATAGTATCCACAATATTGATCTTGCCAGCCAGTGTTTGGAACGTCATATGTTTGGTAACCTACTCTATTTCGGCCTTTAATTTTCTGTATCAGAGCTAAGACTCCTGCTTGAAACTCCAAAGTTTCATCCATCGTGAACAAATCCACGGCAGGTAGCATTCCTTTGAAAAATAATAAATTAGGATTTTCTTTTGCCTGTGTCATCCTAGAGTCCAGATATTTAGCCATCTTGTCATCGATCTCTTTGTCTTTCGTACTCCTACGAGTTATTGTACAAAACTTTTTATTACTACTCGAACAATTTTCTACATTTTCTTCGGTGCTCGGTACGGTGCTTGACGTTTGAATTGACTCTTCGGTGGGTCTCGGCTCATAAACCTTTTTTAAAAACATCAATTGCTCTTCGTGCACATAATTTCGGGACCTTTTAGCGGCAGATCCAGATCTTTTTTCATCTTTCTTTTTTTTTATAGATTTTTGCCATGTGTCTCGAATGTTCCTCCATTTATCCGAGACAAATTTTCCTGCAAATAAATTAATACATAATAATAAGTTATTCTTATTGAGATTATTTTTTTTTTGATATTTTGCATCTGGGTGTTCGTTTAGGGAACTCCGGAACTCCACTACTCGTATAGGATAGGAGTTTCCACTATTAGTAAAATAATAAAAGAAATGAGCGCCATTATTTGGAACAGATTACACACAGATTTCATGAAGTTACCTGATTCGGAGAGACAATAGGAAGCCATTTTAAATGGATTTGAAACAAAAGCTAACTTTCCTCATTGCCTTGGAGCCGTCGACGGAAAACACATTAGAATTATAAAACCAAGCAATAGTGGTTCTATGTTCTTTAATTACAAAGAGTATTTCTCTTTTGTATTACTTGCTGTGGTCGATTCAGAATACCGATTCAACTATATAAGTGTGGGTTCATATGGGATGGAATGTGATTCTACGATAATAAAGAATAGTACGTTTTGGCAAAAGTTAAATGATGGTTCATTAAATATACCAAAGCCTATACCTGTACATGAAAATACATATGATGAATTATCGTTTGTACTTATTGGCGACAAAGGCTTTGGTTTGACATCAAATTTTTTAAGACCTTATGGAGGTACACATTTAGATCATAAGAAAAAAATTTTTAACTATCGATTGAGCCGCGATAGAAGATAATATGTTGAATGCGCCCTTGGTATTCTAGCCAACAAATGGAGAATACTGCATCGGCCGATAGATCTTCAAATAGAAACACGGCGATCGACGTCATAAAGCTTGTACACTTTTACATAACTTTGTTAGAGATAAAGACGGCATTAATTTAGAGCATAACCAAAACCCAATTTCTACAGAAAAAGATGAAATAACACATCCCAATATACAAAGTAGAGGTGGTCCTAATGCGAATGTGATCCGAACAGCATTTGCCGATTACTTCGTGTCTGATATTGGTTCAATACCTTAGCAGGAAGCAGCTGTGTGAATATGTTTTTACCTAGATATTATTTATATACTTACACAGTGTTCTAACGAAAATTTGTACATCCCTAGAACTTGGCAAAATAAAAGTTTTAACAAAAATCCAAATACAGGTAGTTTTTTTTTATATCGACTAAAAAAAATAACCTTTATGTCACTTCAAACAAAAATATTTCTTAGAGCCCGTTCTCACTATGACGGACCGTCTGTTTTCTTGGCCTGTCTGATAAGACGGATATGCCAGTGACAGTACAATTTATATGACACTGTTCACGTTAAGACGGTTTCGAGAAAAAGGACGGAACCGAGTTTTTAGACGGGCGTTTTGCCACTGCGAAGAGCCGTCTAAACGCCCGGATCGGATGTAATGTGAACGGTTCTGCCCGTTCACATTAGACGGTACCGATGTACTTCCGTTCTTAACCTGCTGTCGCCGCGAATTACCTGGCAAACATCATTTCGGCTTCTACCTACGCTCGTGAAAAATGGAGTTAGATACGTCTGCATTGATTTCGCTTATCCAAAATAAAACTGTTTTGAGGGACAAAACGTTAGAAGGATATAAAGATAAAAACTTTAGATTAGCAGCCTTCAGCAAAATATGTACAATATTTGTACAATTTGAACAACTTGAAGAAAAAGAAAGAAAATAATTTGGTGAGTTTGTTTAAATTTTTTATTTACATGTATAGAAATATTTTTGTTTGAAGTGACATTTTTTCTTTTACTCGATATAAAAAACTACCTGTATTTGGATTTCTGTCAAAACTTTTATTTTGCCAAGTTCTAGGCATGTACAAATTTTCGTTAGAACACCATGTAAGAATATAAATAATATCTAGGTAAAAACATATTCATACAGCTGCTTTCTGCTAAGGTATTGAACCAATATCAGACACGAAGTAATCGGCAAATGCTGTTCGAATCATATTCGCATTAGGGCCACCGCTACTTTGTATATTGGGATGTGTTATTTCATCTTTTTCCGTAGAAATTGGGTTTTGGCTGTGCTCTAATATAATGCCGTCTTTATCTCTAATAAATTATGTAAAAGTGTACAAGCTTTCTTATTTTCACTAGCTTTTAACTTCTTAATTCGGTATATTACGTCATTTATTCTCTTTTTAATTTCATACGGACCCTCCCATTGTCTTTGCAGTTTAGGAGACAAGCCACGACGACGTTGTGGATTATAAAGCCAAACAAGATCACCTACTTCATAGCTCTCATTCTTGCATCGACAATCGAATTGATATTTCATTCTGTCACTGGCTAACTGGATGTGTTGTCGGGCAAGATCATGAATGTTGTTCATTCTTAACTTTAGGCGGTCGACATAATCTTCGCTTGCAACATGTTCTTCGGAAGGTCTGTAGCCAATCTTAAGGTCACAGGGCAAACGAACTTCACGACCTAACATCAGGCAAGTTGGAGTTTGGTCTGTAGTTTCGTTCACGGCCGAGCGGTAGGCCATCAGAAATAAATGAATGTGCTTGTCCCAATTCAAAATCTCCAAGGGAACACCAAATTGGCTAAAGAATTCTTTAACCAGTACCTCTACAACGGTAGCAGCTTCTTGATTTGGTAACGCATAGGCCTCAGTCCATTTCGTAAAATAATCCATGGCTACCAGGATATATTTATTTCCATCATTCGTCTCTGGAAATGAACCTGCAATGTCGATTGCTACTCTTTCCATACGACTACCAACATTGTACTGTTTCATGGGTGCCCTCTTTTTACCAACTGAACCATTACTGGTTGCACACAGTCCACGTTTCCGGCACCATCTTCTTACATCATCTTTACAGGTCACCCAATTGAACCGTTCTTCAACCTTTTGCAGAGCCTTCGTTATACCAAAGTGTCCACCTGATGCACCGTCATGTAACTGACGCAATACTTCTGACACTTTACTTTTAGGTACAATCAACTGAAGATTAGATTCTGTACCATCATCAAAAAGATCATCTTTTAGCACTAGGCAATTCCATTGCCTCGAGTAACACTTGACTTCAGGACTACATGTACTAATGTCTTGCCAAAAAGGCCTTTCACTTCGACGCATCCAATCCAATACTGTTTTTATACATGAATCATCTGCTTGAGCGCCTTGTACCTGTTGTGGCTGCCATTGATCATTAATGACGGTGGTTCGTCCCACGGGACAAAGTTTTTTTTCTACTTTAAGACAGTGATTACAATTTTCACTGCACGGCCGCGGCCGTCTCGAAATCGCATCAGCATTTAAATGAACTCTCTCAGCACTGTGTTCGATCTGGTAATCATATTCTTGTAATCGTTCTAACCATCTTGCCATCTGGCCCTCTGAATTAAGGAATTGTAGTAAATTTTTCCCCAATATGAACTCGTCGAAGATCTCTTGCATTTAATACTCTATGTTTCACTGTGGTCTGACCAATGGATACTGACATATTAGCCTTGCCATATGTACTAATTATCTCACCAGTTGCTGTTTTAAGGTTTACTGTTGCAAACGTTAATTTAAGATGGTCTCGTCCTACTTCTGGCCGTGCAATATATCTTGTTGCACCTGAATCTACCAAAGACGATCTACATTTATTATTAATACGGCCCTCGATGTACAAGCTATGAACTTCACCGGAGGACGTAATGTTCACAGTTACTATGGGGGCTGTATTTCTCGAGGTAGGCAGTTGCCTCTTGGTGTCGACCCGTTCTAGTTTCCGACTGTTGTATCATTTTCTTGCAATTACGACAAATGTGACCTACTTCACCGCAATTCCAACATCTGGGCTCGCATCTCTTCGACATCGTATTACGAACTACTTTTCGTACCATTTCTTCCAGACGTTCACCGTTTGGTTCGTCGCCTTCTTCAATGGTTCTTACTCGATGGCTCCGTGAAGTTTGACTAGCTGTTTCATGTTCCAAAGCAATAGCGAGCGCTTCATCTAGAACTTTCGGTCTTGCTAGTCGTAAAGCTTTCTGTAATTCACTTTCTTTTAACCCATTGACAAAGGTATCTACAGCAATTTCTTTCGGAATGATGTCTGTCGCTGAACTCTACTTCTTAGTTGCGCCTTGTAGACTTGTTGTAGATGGGCATCTCCGTAACGTTTGTCTAGTCGAGTGAACAAAGTCTGGTAACATTTTTTTTGACCCTTAGGAATCAATCTTAGGATAACCGCAGCATCACCTCGTGAAGCAGCAGTTAAGGAAACAGCTTTTTCTTGTTCTGTCCAATGACTGGCTGTCGCAATAGCTTCAAATTGTCTAAGGTATATGGACCAAGCAGACTTTCCATCAAATGATGGCAATTTGAATCTCATATGATGTGTCTTTTCGTCTCTCGGTGATTCTTCTTTCACTACCGGATCTAGGACTACTGTATTAACTGGTAGTAGCACTTTTGTATTGGTTATCATGCTCATGCAACTGTTTGATCTTCTTTTCTACTTTATCGAATGTTTTAGAGACTTCTTCAAATTTCTCATTGTTCTAAATACAAACTCCTTTCATTATTTGAGAGGTCTCGTCGAATCTTCGACCGTCGAATCTTAAGCGTTTTCATCCATTTCAGCCAACATAATTTCTATTTGATCTTCTTTACGACTGTCGCTAAGCAGTTCTTCAAAATGATTCGTCCACCTGTTTAGTATCTGTTCTTTGTCACTAATTATGGAACCATCTCTATCAAAATGCATTTTGATCGAGAAATCAAAAGAACGAGAAATCACAACGGCACTTCATACTAGACTTTTGTGTAAAGTGGTACATGGAGTGGTCTTCGTCTCAGTCCACGAGAAGGAAAAAAAAAACTTAACATATTTGACTATTTTTACTTATATTTCTTCTAGTTAAATTCTGGATATTCGAAGTTTTGAAATTTCTATAATATTGAAATTTTGACTTATTTTGGTTTTGCAAATATGAATTTTTGAAATTTACAAAAGCAACTTATGGAGATGCATATATTTCAGTGACCCTTGTTAAAATTATGGATGCATTTTTATTTTGTTGAAAATCTTTAGCATAAAAATCATAGAAGAAG